TTCACTTTGTCTCGACGAATGGCTTCTCCTCCACCCCCCGTACTGTCTCATGTGGTGTCCCTCAGGGCTCTGTCCTCGGTCCCCTCCTCTTCACCCTCTATATGCTCCCCCTTGGTGACATCATCCGCAGACATGGAGTTAACTTCCACATGTATGCGGATGACACCCAACTCTACCTTTCCTCCTCTACTCTCAACTCCACGACCACCGATGTCCTGACAGCTGCCTGTCCGACATCGAGTCCTGGACGAGAGACAACTTTCTTCAGCTCAACGTGCGAAAAACCGAGGCCCTCCTGATTGGCTCACGTCAGCGCCTCCGCACCTCAGGCGCTGACACCATCAGCATCCAAGGCTGCACTCTCCACCTCTCAAAGCCAGTCAGGAACCTCGGCGTTTTGTTCGACCCTGAGCTGTCCTTTCTCCCTCACATCCGCACCACAACTGGCACCGCCTTCCATCACCTCCGGAACATCGCCAGACTACGGCACTACCTCACCCCTCACGCTGCTGAAACCCTGGTCCACGCCTTTGTCACCTCAAGGCTGGACTATGGGAACTCTCTCCTCGCCGGCCTTCCCGCCACCTCCCTCCACAAGCTGCAGGTCATTCAGAACTCTGCAGCTCGTGTACTGTCCCGCACCAGGCTTCGCGACCACATCACTCCCACCCTCGCCCTCGCTCGCCTCCACTGGCTCCCCATCCCCCAGAGGATTGATTTCAAGATCCTCATCCTCACCTACAAGGCCATTCACGGCCTTGCTCCCTCCTACCTCTCCAACCTACTATCCCCCTACCTACCTGCCCGTACCCTCCGTTCCTCTGGCTCCGGTCTGCTCCACGTCCCCCGCCCCAACCGCCCTACCATCGGTGGTCGGGCCTTCAGCCTCTCAGCCCCGAGGCTCTGGAACTCCATCCCCCAGTGCCTTCGCCGCTTCCTCCCTTTCCTCCTTCAAGGCCGGTCTCAAAACCTTTCTCTTTGACCGAGCCTTCAGCTCCCCTCTCGACTCTCTTCCCCCTCCTCGCTCCCTCCCTTCCCTCCCCTCACCCTGACCATTTCCCCCCTCCTCGCTCCCTCCCCTCACCCTGACCATTTCCCCCCTGCTCGGGTCATGACCCAACTGTGCAGCGCCTTGGGACGTCCTCCTGACGTGAAAGGCGCTTTATAAATGGAATCTTGTTGTTGTTGTTGTTGATGTTGTTTTGTGGTGTTGTGTGTTGCTGTGTGGTGTGTGTCGCTGTGTGTCACTTTGTATTGTTATGTTTTGCTATGTGTTCTTGTGTGTTGTTCTATGTTGTTGTATGTTGCTGTATGATGCTATATGTTGCTGTGTGTTGTTTTGCAATATGTTGCTTTGTGTTGTGTGTTGCTGTGTATTGCTGTTTGGTGTTGTGTGTCACTGTGTGTTGTTGTGTGTCACTGTGTTGTGTGTGTCGCTGTGGATTGTTGTGTTGTGTGTCATTGTGTGTTGTATGTCACTGTGTTGTGTTGCTGTGTATTGTGTGTCACTGTGTGTTTTGTGTTGCTGTGTATTGTGTGTCGCTGTGTGGTTTGTGTTGCTGTGTGTTGTGTGTCGATGTGTGTTGCATGTTGCTGTGTGTTGCTGTGTGTTGTGTTTTGCTATATGCCGCTGTGAGTCGCTGTGAGTCACTGTTGTTGTGTGTCACTGTGTTGTGTGTTGCTGGTTTGTCGCTGTGTGTTGTGTGCCATTGTGTATTGTTATGTATTGCTGATTGTCGCTTTATTTTGTTGTGTGTTGTTGTGTGTTGTGTGTTTTTTGTGTTGCTATATGTTGCTCTATATTGCTGTAAGTTGTTTTGAGTTGTGTATCGTTGTCTGTTGTTGTGTGTTATTTGTTACTATATGTTGTTGTATGTTGTATGTCATTATGTTTTGCTGTGTGTTCTGTGTTTTTGTGTGATGTGTTGCTGTGTGTTATGTGTCCTGTGTATTGTGTGCTGTTGTATGTTGCTGTGTTTTGTGTTGTGTGTTGCTGAGTGTTACTGTGTGTTTTGTGTTGCTATGTTTCAATGTGTTGTTATAAGTTGTGTGTTGCTGTGTGTTTTGTGTTGTTGTGTGTTGCTTTGTGTTGCGTGCCGCTGCCCCCACCCGCTGGAACTCCTGGGATTGTTCTCCTTAGAGCAAAGAAGGTGAAGGGGAGATTTGATAGAGGTGTTAAAAATTATGAGGGGTTTTGATTGAGTAGATATGGAGAAACTGTTTCCACTGGCACTGGGTCAGTGACCAGAGGACACAGATTTAAGATAATTGACAGAAGAACAAGAGGGGAAATTAGTGCTCATCAAAGAAACAGTTGACGTCCTCTCTCTCTGTCAAGGCTCCCTCTGCCGCCTCATTCTCCTGGAGCTCTCTGCTGTGTTTGACAGAGTCAATCACACCATCCTCCTCCACCGCCTCTCCTCCATCATCCACTTTAGTTGGACCACACTTGCATTGGTTCGAGTCCTACTTGACTAACTGCGAACAATTTATCTAGGGAAACAGGTTCTCCTCCCGACCCCCACAGGCTCCATCCTTGGCCTCCTTCTTTTCAGCATTTACATGCTCCCTCTCGGCAATGTCATCTGTGGATATGGGGTCAGCTTCCACATGTATGTGGATGACATATAAATATTTTCTCCTCCAGCTTGTTTCCCAGTCCGCTGATATCCTGTCAGTTGTCTGATGGATATCAAGGCCTGGATGAGCACAAATTTCCTTCAGCAGAACTTAGGCCTGACCTCCCCGGGCTCTTCCTGAGACTCACCAAACCCGTGCGCAACATAGGCGTCAGGTTCGATCCCCAGCTTTCCTTTCTCCTCACATCCGTTCCCTGACCAGGATCGTTTGTTTTCCACCTTTGCCACATTGCCCGTCTCTGACCGTACCTCACACCCACAGCAGCCAAAACCCTTGTCCACACCTTGGTCACTTCCCGGCTGGGCTATTCCAATGCTCTCCTCACTGGTCTCCCCAGCTCCACTATACACTAAATCCAATTCATTCAGAACCGCACAAAACTCTGTACCTCCATCACCCCAACCCCTGCCCCAGCCCCTGCCCCAGCCCTGCCCCAACCCCAGCCCTGCCCCAACCCCTGCCCTGCCCCAGCCCCTGCCCCAGCCCTGCCCCAACCCCAGCCCTGCCCCAACCCCTGCCCTGCCCCAACCCCTGCCCCAGCCCCTGCCCTGCCCCAACCCCTGCCCTGCCCAACCCCTGCCCTGCCCCAACCCCTGCCCCAACCCCTGCCCCAGCCCTGCCCCAACCCCAGCCCTGCCCCAACCCCAGCCCTGCCCCAACCCCAGCCCTGCCCCAACCCCTGCCCTGCCCCAACCCCTGCCCTGCCCCAACCCCTGCCCTGCCCCAACCCCTGCCCCAGCCCTGCCCCAACCCTGCCCCAGCCCCTGCCCCAACCCCTGCCCTGCCCCAACCCCCTGCCCCTGCCCCAACCCCTGCCCTGCCCCAACCCCTCCCTGCCCCAACCCCTGCCCTGCCCCAACCCCCCTGCCCCACCCCTGCCCCCAACCCCTGCCCTGCCCCAACCCCTGCCCCTGCCCCAACCCCTGCCCTGCCCCAACCCCTGCCCTGCCCCTGCCAGGCCGCTCCGACTCCAATTACTGAACGGATTGACTTCAAGATCCTCTCACTCATTTTCCAATCCCCTCATGCCCTCGCACCTCCCTATCTTTTCGACCTGCTCACCCCCCACTCCCCCACCCATTGTGTCCGCTCAGCTGGCTCTGGCCTCCTGTTTGTCCCTCGTTCCCTCCGCTCCACCATCGGCGGCCATACTTCATACTATTTGAGAAACGTCTGCTCAATCACTCTCTCCCAGACACTCTCTCACTCTCTGCCCCTCTCACTCTCTCCACCTTCTTCCCAACACACACTCTCAATTATTCTCACTCCCTCTCCCACTCTCTCCCTCTTTCACTTGTTTACTCTCTCAACCACTCTCTCTTCCCCCACACTCTATCTCCCCTTTCTGCTGTTTCTTCTCTCCTCCTCCCACATTGTATATTACTCTCCCCCCCCCACCCCGCTCTCTCTCACACACAAATTGTCTCTCTCTCAATCACTCTCTCCCCCTCCCCTTCTTTCTCTCAAGCAGCCGTGCATGTCACTGTGTGTAGTGACAGGAGGCAGCAGTAAGGAGCTGATGGATAAGGAGATGCACTTGTCTTCCCCTCAGCTTCCTGATGGTCTTCAGTAGCGGATGGTATTTCTACCTCCCACCGGCTTGTGCCGCTGCCGAGAGGACTTGTGGTCGGGGAGAGATGGAGTGGGGATGGCCTGAAGTTGCACATGGTCTCGGGCCGGGCTGCACGCCCATCCGTCAAAACTCCCTGGTCTAAGCTGACAACCCAATGCAGTACTAGGGGAGTGTTACATTGTTGGAGGTGCCATTCTTGGTTAAGACGGGTCACATTGTCCCGTTTCCTGTTCAGGTGGATGTTAAAGATCCCACAGCGCTATCCAAAAAGACAAATGAGTTTCTCGCTCCCAGTTCCTGGCCAACAATCCCCAGATAAAATGAGTCCCTCACTCCCATGTTTGTGGGACATTGCTGGGCGCAAAACTGTCTGGTGCATTTCCCACAAAATGAGTGTATCCTGTGAAGGGCTTTGGGATGTCTCAGCACCGTGATAAGATGCCATGTCAAATGCCAGGATTTTTGTTATTGTAATAAGGGCTGCCCCTCGCTATACACAGGTGACTGGCCAGTGGTCAGAGGTTTTCCAGCAACACCAAACATCGTAATGTGAAAGCACAAAACTGGATCAATGCTGTTCTATTCTGCTCTCCACACCCAGGCCACGGATATGGGGAGCTGGGAAAAGGAGAAGAGAGCAGCGCTGTCAAGGGGTCTGGCTCCATCTTTGACGTTCTGGTTTTGACGTGTTCCAGTCTCCCATAAGGACCATCTGGCAGTCAGGGACCCGCTGTGTGAGGCTGTCCATTGAGATGCCCATGGACTCACTGATCAGGGGTAATGAGGGGAGAACAGACCATTTGTCAGTCTGATTATCTGTTTAATGTTTAATGCCAAACTCCATCTCTCCCCACCCACAAATTGGGTGAATCGTATTCACTTAGGGTCGGGGCCACAGTGACTCCATGTCTATTTCTTATGCAAAGTTGACGAAGTCCAGTTCTCTCTTCATAGTTAAGGTGACCTCCAGCAAGCTGGTGCTAGAGATCAGTTGAGCTTTTCCGTTCTTACTGTCCACTGCGTGTGGCAGGTGCAGGCCCAGCTTACTGTGGGACAGAAATACAGGAAGATACTTACACACCCAACAACAACTTGCATTTGTATAACGCTGCTCACGCAGTGTCGTGTCCCATACTCGTACCATGCCCGCCCATGGGACACTGTTGGACACGACTGTTTGGGCTGCCGCATTCGCGTACACGGGCAATAAACTTTACAATAAATCCTTTGAAGCGATTTCAGAATCTTCCCGACGTGAAAGGCGTTATATCAAATGCAGGGACTCTTACTTCTGTATTATTTATTCTATCTATTCTCAGTCATTTGCTATTCATGTCTCCCCAGTTTGTTGTGGTCACAGCTGGACAAGTGAAAACCCATTGCCAGGCTTCCCTCCCAACCTCCAAAACCACAAACACTGAAACCTCTCCATGTCTGGAATATAGAAGCAGGTGGAGGCCATTCAGCCCCTTGAGTGTGTGCACCATTCTATGAGATCACGACTGAATTCATGGTTCTCCCTGAGGGAAATTCCTTGAGGGAGAATTAGTTACCAAGAAGCAAAGCTATGGGGGTAACTGCTGGAATTTAACCAACTAAAACCACATAGAAAATCATTAAGATCACTGTCTGGCAAACTTCCCTTTGCAGCTGAGTGAAGAATTACTGACCAGTGTTCTGCTCTTTCAAGTCACGAGCAGCACCTGGAGCAGTAAACACCCCGAGCTCAGTGACCAGACGAAGACTGACAGTCACTCATTCTGGCATCCCACCAGAAGCACATGACTGTGAAGCCAGCTCAACCCCTGGCTGCAGGAGTTCAGTTCAGTAACCCGAGGAGGCTATCCCTACTGTGTACACAATCAACCCAGATAACAGGAGGCCATGTAGGAAGAAGTCTGTTGATATGAGGCAGACTTTCACCCCCATCAGTTCCTCTCCTCAAGCACAGTCTCCATTCCCCTCAAAATCACTGTCAATATCTCTGCCTCAATAACCCACCCTCAATCCTTCAAATTCACAAACTACTAACTCACCTCAACCTTATCGGCATTTTGAAAGTCATGGAACATGTTGTAGCCAACCACTCCCTCCTCAAGCCCCTCCACACCCTCCTCAAGCCCCTCCACACCCTCCTCAAGCCCCTCCATTCCCTCCTCAAGTCCCTCCACTCCCTCCTCAAGCCCCTCCATTCCCTCCTCAAGCCCCTCCACTCCCTCCTCAAGTCCCCCCACTCCCTCCTCAAGCCCCTCCACTCCCTCCTCAAGCCCCTCCACTCCCTCCTCAAGCCCCTCCACTCCCTCAAGTCCCTCCACTCCCTCCTCAAGCCCCTCCACTCCCTTAAGTCCCTCCACTCCCTCCTCAAGCCCCTCCACTCCCTCCTCAAGCCGCTCCACACCCTCAAGTCCCTCCACTCCCTCCTCAAGTCCCTCTACTCCCTCCTCAAGCCCCTCCACTCCCTCCTCAAGCCCCTCCACTCCCTCCTCAAGCCCTTCCACTCCCTCCTCAAGCCCCTCCACTCCCTCCTCAAGCCCCTCCACTCCCTCCTCAAGCCCCTCCACTCCCTCTTCAAGCCCCTCCAGTCTGGTTCCACCCAGACCACAGAACAGAGACAATGCTTGTCAACATCACAAACACCGTCTCCTCTCTCTTTCTCTCTCTCTCTGCGACCAGAGCTTTGTCTTCTTCCTGGACCTCCCCGCAGCCTTTGACCATTCCATCCTCTCCTCCCTCGTCCACCTCCGTGCTCTCTCATGATTCAAGTCTTACTTGACCCACTGCCATCACGTCATCTCCACAAACAGTTTCTCCTCCCGCCCCCGGCCTGCACCTGTAACCCAGGGCTTTGTCCTTGGACCCTCCTCTTCCTCATTTACTTGTTCCCTCTCAGTGATGTCATCTGCAGACACTGCGATAACTTCCACATGTAGAAAGACGACACCCAAATCTCCTCTCCTCCTCCAGCTGCAACCCCAGGTCCGCTGACGTGCTGTTCTCTTGGATAAGCACCAACCTTCTGCAGCTGAATGTTGACAAGTCAGAAGCCACCCTCCTTGCCTCCCATCAATGTCTTCTCACCTGCGGCTCCGACCTCCTTAACCTCCCGGCCTAGCCCTCAGATTTACCTGTGTGGAATCTAAGTGTCTGATTCAATCCCCAATATCTGGCACAAATTGTCCTTCCTAAAGTCTCTGCAGCTCCAGCATTCACAAAATCCAATTGATCCGAAGCTCCGGCAACCATATCCTCATCTGAACCAAACTCCACACCTACATCACCCCAGTCCTTGCCCGGCTTCACTGATTACAGAATGCATCAATTTTAAGATCCTCACACTCAGGTACACACAGCCTATAATAATAATAAATAATAATAATCCTTGCATTTGATACAGCACCTAATCACGTCTTCAAGGCGTCTCAAAGCGCTTCACAGAATAGACTGTGAAGTGAATTGACTGTATATTTTGTGGGCGAAACCCAGGAATTGAACCCAGGTCTCTTGTTCCAACCACAGAGCTATAGGCTTCCACTATGTGCCCTGGCACTTTCCGACCGCTCCGACCTGCTTATGCCCCACTTCTCTACCCATTCCCGACATTCAGCTGGTTTGGGCCTTCTGCACGTCCCTCCACATCACTTTTGGCAGCTGTGCTTTTAGTCACTACGCCCCGAAGCTCCCTGCCTCAATCCCTCCATCTTGCTCCCTCTTTGCCCTTCGTCAGATTGCACGTGAAGCCCTTCCTGTTTGTCGATGCCCTGTCTCTGTCTCTGCCTGGCCATGGACAATCTCCATGAGATGCTCTCCTGTATAAACTATATAATGCAGATTTTAGTTGTCAGCCACCCAGAGAGATGGTATTCAGCACTTACTAGTGTGGGGAGCGAAGAGTAAGAAACCGATCATTCACATCAAGAGTGACATCACTCAGCTTTGTGTCTGGCAGATTAATTCTTATCTGTAAATAAAAGATGTGTTGAAGATGTTGTAAAGAGAAGGTTCGGGAATCTACATCAAGAGAAAACTCCTGAGCTGTGATTTCACAAGGAAGACAGAGATCGATGAAGATGAAGATAAAGAGTTGAGTGCCAGGGGCTCAGGAGCACTTTGTACTGTTGTCTCTTTGGTCCTCTTGAGACAAAATAAAATGAGATTCCTCTGAGGTTGATAATAATAAAATAATAATGAGGTGGATGGGTCATTAAAACAGTTATTAAACAGGCATTAACCTTACTAGTTGCTGCTGTAGCTGCAAACTAACTTTTTGTGACTGGTGTACAAGGACACCCAAATCCCTCTGAACACTAACACTATCTAGTCTCTCCCCCTCTAGAAAATAATCCGCTTTTCTATTTTTACTACCTAGGTGAATAACTTCACACTCCCCCATGTTATACTCCATCTGTCACCAACTTGCCCACTCACAGAGTAATGTGCAAGTTCCTCACAGCAACTCTTTCCCCAGTGTGAAACTCCATTTAGAAAATATTCTGCTTTGGTGTTTTTGGATAACCTCACACTTCCGCACATGAAATGCCATCTGCCACAGTTTTGCCCACTCACTTAATCTGTCTAAATCCCTTTGTAACTTCCTGCTCCCATCTGCACAATTGTGCAGTCTAATGTATCATCCGTAAAATTCTCTATTCCTTCATTCAAATGATTTATACATATACATATACATGATGAAAAGCTGAGGTCCCAGTACAGACCCATGGGTACAGACCACTTCATAGAATCATAGAATCATAGAATTGCTCGACACAGAAGGAGGCCATTCAGCCCATCGTGTCTGTGCTGCTCTTTGGAAAGAGCTTCCAATTCAACCACACTCCCCCGCTCACTCTCCCCATAGCCCTGATCAACCCCACTCCCCCCACTCTCTCTCCCCATAGCCCTGATCAACCCCACTCCCCCCACTCTCTCTCCCCATAGCCCTGATCAACCCCACTCCCCCCACTCTCTCTCCCCATAGCCCTGATCAGCCCCACTCCCCCCACTCTCTCTCCCCATAGCCCTGATCAACCCCACTCCCCCCACTCTCTCTCCCCATAGCCCTGATCAACCCCACTCCCCCAGCTCTTTCTTCCCATAGCCCTGATCAACCCCACTCCCCCGCTCACTCTCCCCATAGCCCTGATCAACCCCACTCCCCTGTGCTCTCCCCATAGCCCTGATCAACCCCACTCCCCTGTGCTCTCCCCATAGCCCTGATCAACCCCACTCCCCTGTGCTCTCCCCATAGCCCTGATCAACCCCACTCCCCTGTGCTCTCCCCACAGCCCTGATCAACCCCACACCCCTGTGCTCTCCCCATAGCTCTGATCAACCCCACTCCCCTGTACTCTCCCCATAGCTCTGCAAACTTGTCCTCCCCAAATAATTATCTGCTTCTCTCTTAAAAGTTGTTATCGAATCGGCTTCCACCAGCCTTTCTGGCAATATATTCCAGATCCCAACAACTTGCTGTGTGAAAAGATTTTTCTCATCTCCCCTCTGTTTCTCCCGATTTAACTATTTTAAATCGGTTGTTGTCACTTGTCACGACTCGCCAATCACGACTCACCCTCTCCCTCTCCCAAACAATTAGCAAGCCATGTTGCAAGGTTACCTCCAATTCCATGCACTTTCATTTTTGATAATAATCTCTTGTGTGGAACCTTATCAAATGCCTCTAGAAGTCCATGTAGGCACTTTCTCAAACACCATGTTAATGACCTCCTCAAAAAATTCAATTAGATGTGTCAGACATGACCTACCCCTTCACATATCCATGCTGACTCTCTTTGATTAGCTTATACTTGTCCAAGTGCTGTCACTCTGTCTCTGATGAGACATTCCAGTAACTTCCCCACAAAATTGACAGTAAGCTGTCAGTGACCTGTTTTCCCTCTCACCCCCTTCTTAAATAATGGAGTGACATTTGCAATTCTCCAATCCAAGGGCACAATTCCCCAATAGACAGCTTTGGAAAATGATGACAAACACATGTACAATTTCCCCCCCTACTTTATAATCTATCATCTCAGCCCTGACCACCCTGCCCTCAGCCCCTCCCCTCACTCGGCCTCTTCACCGAGGTCTCTGTCACTATTGATGTCCTATTGCTCAGTGATATTGTCTGATATCCCAGCAACCACCAGCCAACTGACAAACAGCCTTGTGCAATACCAACAGGGAGTAAAAAAGGCTTGTGTGGCGGTGGCTGGAGCCGAGAATAAAGGAAGTTACAGCAGCCGCCAGGGCTAGGATTGAGGAGATTGTCGAGAGCTCAGTGTATAATAAGCAACTCACCACCATGTCCTCACAGCAGGCTGTGGAACCGTCCTTCCTGCTCACACCCAGAAACACATCTTCTGTTCCAACTCTCTGTTTGAATAGTATTTCATACCTAAAAACAACCACAGCATTAGCTGCACACTGCATAATAACCATAATAACCACAGCCGTACACTGGGCCCCATTGTGCTCCATGGTAAACCTCCAGTCTCCCGGCACACGGACTGCTGCCACTCACCAGCCTCACACTCACATTCTCTGTAAAATATCACACACAGTATTTAGAGTTTGCTTCCTGTTTGACTTCCATTCACTCAGTATAATACAATACACTGTACATATACAGAGCTCCTGTCACATTGGGAGGTGTCTGTGAGATAAACAATACAACAACAATAATCATTATAATGATTGCAGTGAATGGTGGATACAGAGTTCACAACCAAGTGTCACATTAACAGCAACAGTTTATTACAGTACCACCTTAATCCATTGCAGCTATGTTTGCAAACAAAGGGTAGTGCACTGCCCCAGCCCCCTCCCCGGCTACCCCAGCCCCCTCCCCGGCTACCCCAGCCCCCTCCCCGGCTACCCCAGCCCCCTCCCCGGCTACCCCAGCCCCCTCCCCGGCTACCCCAGCCCCCTCCCCGGCTACCCCAGCCCCTCCCCGGCTACCCCAGCCCCCTCCCCGGCTACCCCAGCCCCCTCCCCGGCTACCCCAGCCCCCTCCCCGGCTACCCCAGCCCCCTCCCCGGCAACCCCAGCCCCCTCCCCGGCTACCCCAGCCCCCTCCCCGGCTACCCCAGCCCCCTCCCCGGCTACCCCAGCCCCCTCCCCGGCTACCCCAGCCCCCTCCCCGGCTACCCCAGCCCCCTCCCGGCTACCCCAGCCCCCTCCCCGGCTTCCCCAGCCCCCTCCCCGGCTACCCCAGCCCCTCCCCGGCTACCCCAGCCCCCTCCCCGGCTACCCCAGCCCCCTCCCCGGCTACCCCAGCCCCCTCCCCGGCTACCCCAGCCCTCTCCCCGGCTACCCCAGCCCTCTCCCCGGCTACCACAGCCCCCTCCCCGGCTACCACAGCCCCCTCCCCGGCTACCACTGCCCCCTCCCCGGCTAACACAGCCCCCTCCCCAGCTATCACAGCCCCCTCCCCGGCTATCACAGCCCCCTGCATTGGTCACCCCCCTTCCCATCCCCTCTCCCCCTGATCCCAGCTCGGGTCTGAAATGCTGTCACTGTCTTGGGACGTCCTCCCGACGTGAAAGGCGCTATACAAATGTAATCTTGTTGTTGTTGTAACACATCCCCCTCCCTAGCTAACACATCCATCTAACCTGTGCTGTCACTGACCCTGGGGTTGCTGTACACGGTGTACGATGTAAGTGACCTGAGACTCTTTGGGTAATAATAATGTGTTTTTAGTAATTGTCTAATTATTTGTATTACTTTTCTCCCCACCAGCAAATGCCACTGGTCTGGCCTCGCGCTCTCTCTCTCTCTCTCGCTCTGCCTCTGGCCTCTCTGTGTCTCAGAGCTTAACAGTGGTGGAGCCTGACTCCAAGCCAGGGAGTGTGTGGGTTTGGGGGGGCGGAGGTGGCTGTAATCACGGTCGAAAAGGAAAAATTTCAGGCGGGACTTGAAAATGGGAGAGTTAGAACAAGGGTGTTCCAGGGTTTCGGGGTGTAGTGGCTGAAACAACAACAACAACAACAACAAGATTGCATTTATAGAGCACCTTTCACGTCGGGAGGACGTCCCAAGGCGCTGGACTGTTGGGTCGGGATCTGAGCAGGGGGGAAATGGTCAGGGTGAGGGGAAGGAAGGGAGGGAGCAAGGAGGGGAGGAAAGGGAGGCAGTGAGGAGGGGGTAGAGAGTCGAGAGGGGAGCTGAAGGCACGGTTGAAGAGAAAGGTCTTGAAACCGGCCTTGAAGGAGGAAAGGGGGGAAGCGGCGAAGGCACTGGGGGATGGAGTTCGAGAGCCTCAAGGCTGAGAGGCTGAAGGCCCGACCACCGATGGTAGTACGGTTGGGGCGGGGGTGTGAGCAGACCTGAACCAGAAGAATGGAGGGTACGGGCAGGAAAGTAGGGGGATAGTAGGTTGGACAGGTAGGACGGTGTAAGGCTGTGAATGGCCTTGTAGGTGAGGATGAGGATCTTGAATTGACCTCCAACGGTGGGGAAGGGTGTGAGGGACGAGCAGGAGCCAGTGCTAGTTGAGCGGAGGCACCAGGTGGCGGATTGGGGAGTGAGGAGGTTGGAGAGGTCGGGAGGTGGCAGTGAGTGAAGGGATTTGAACACAAGTGAGGATCTTGAAGTGGCTCCGTTTGGCCAGAGCTGGTGAGATGTGGGGATGGAGTTTGGTTGGGGTCAGTATGAGCTGATCTTGTGAATGGTGGAGCTGGGGAGACCGGCGAGGAGTGGGTTGGGAGTAATCCAGGCGGGAGGTGACAAATGCATGCACGAGGAGTTTTGGCTGCATTTGAGGTAAGGTATGGTCAGAGGCGGAGGTGGAGGAAGGTGGTCCTGGTCCTGGTGGAGTTCTGTAGCTCAGTGGTTAGAGCACTTGCCTCACAAGCGAGAGACCTGGGTTTGATTCCCAGGAGGGCAAAACCTTGGGCAAGTTTCCTTACTCCACACGCCTGATAATAATCCCTCAAGAAAAAAAACAATAATAAATTGGTCACTTCAATCCACAACTGTTTGTGGGACACTGCTGTGCACAATTGGCTGCACAAATTGTGTTTTATCCACAAATATACAGTCAATTCACTTTACAGTCTATTCTGTGAAGAGCTTTGAGTCATCTCAAAAATGTGAACAGCTCTATTTCAAATGCAAGGATTATTATTACCACACACTCTACAAAACACACCACACAACACACTTTACAAAACACACCACACAACACACTCTACAAAACACACCACACAACACACTCTACAAAACACACCACATAACACACTCGACAAAACACACCACACACCACACAACACACACCACACAGCAGACACTACAAAACACATCACACAAGATCGAAGGCACGGTCGAAGAGGAGGGTCTTGAGGTGGGTCATGAAAGTGGCAGGGAGGGGGCGAGACGGAGGGCCTGCGCGATGGAGTTCCAGAGGGTGGGTGGCTATAGAGGGCTCAGGAGTTGGTTTCCCCTGGCTAACTCTGGGCCAATATAACTTTCCCAGCAGCCCTGGTTGAGCCCAGCAAACTCAGCATTGACTGGGATTTGAACCAACAAGGTCTTAACACTCTGAGACGCTACCCCACGTAAAGGGCGTTATTGTTGTTAATGTTGTGTGAGTTGAGGCTTTAATAATAATAATAATAATAATCCTTGCATTTGATATAGCGCTTTTCACGTTGGGAGGACGTCCCAAAGCGCTTCACAGAACACACTGTAAAGTGAATTGACTGTATATTTGGGGGTGAACGCGGCAGCCAATTGCGCACAGCAATGTCCCACAAACAGTCGTAGATTCAAAATGACCAATTTATTATTGTTTTTGGTTTTGGAGGGATTATTATTAGGCTCTGTGTGGAGTAAGGAAACTTGCCCAAGGTTTGGCCCTCTGCCTGGAATTGAACTCAGGTCTCTCACTTGCAAAGCGAGTGCTCTAACTGAGCTATAGGACCACGGCACCATCGGGACTGCCCTAACGATTCAAACCAAGCATCACTTTGGAATTCCTGATGTCAGGAAAGGTGGAGAGTAAATCAGAACAAAATGCTGTGGGCAGTGGGAGTGCCCAGTCGGGGGTGGGGGTGGGTGACCTTGTTGGCCTCCCTTACTTGCTTTCAAATGGATGCCATTTTTTAATGATTTGCAAACTTGTGAATTGTAATGCAATGTGTCTGGCTTGAGAACACTGGACAATAAATGCAATAAAAGGAGGAATTTGGGGGATAAACAACAACTTAACTTACATTTCTCCTTTATGTAGGATAATGTCTTGGAGCAAAGTGGTTTACAAGAGAGAATAAAGGTGACTATGATTGGTAGCATAAAAATAAATAATTGAGGGTGAGGGGGGCGCGGGGGGGGGAGGGGGGAGGGGTGAGGGGGCGCGGGGGAGGAACATGGTGTGTGGGAGAGAGAGAGAGAGGACATGGTGTGTGGGAGAGAGAGAGAGTACATGGTGTGTGGGAGAGGGAGAGAGAGAGGACATGGTGTGTGGGAGAGAGAGAGAGAGGACATGGTGTGTGGGAGAGAGAGAGAGTACATGGTGTGTGGGAGAGGAGAGAGAGAGTACATGGGTGTGTGGGAGAGAGAGAGAGTCATGGTGTGTGGGAGAGGGAGAGAGAGAGGACATGGTGTGTGTGAGAGAGAGAGAGAGTACATGGTGTGTGGAGGAGAGAGAGAGAGGACATGGTGTGTGGGAGAGAGAGAGAGAGGACATGGTGTGTGGGAGAGAGAGAGAGAGGACATGGTGTGTGGGAGAGAGAGAGAGGACATGGTGTGTGGGAGAGGGAGAGAGAGGACATGGTGTGTGGAGAGGGGAGAGGACATGGTGTGTGGGAGAGGGAGGAGAGAAGGACATGGTGTGTGGGAGAGAGAGAGAGAGGACATGGTGTGTGGGAGAGGGAGAGAGAGAGGACATGGTGTGTGGGAGAGGGAGAGGACATGGTGTGTGGGAGAGGGAGAGAGAGAGGACATGGTGTGTGGGAGAGGGAGAGAGAGGACATGGTGTGTGGGAGAGGGAGAGAGAGAGGACATGGTGTGTGGGAGAGAGAGAGGGACATGGTGTGTGGGAGAGGAGAGAGAGAGAGGACATGGTGTGTGGGAGAGGGAGAGAGAGAGAGAGGACATGGTGTGTGGGAGAAGGAGAGAGAGGACATGGTGTGTGGAGAGAGAGAGGACATGGTGTGTGGGAGAGGAGAGAGAGGACATGGTGTGTAGGGGAGAGAGAGAGAGGACATGGTGTGTGGGAGAGAGAGAGAGAGGACATGGTGTGTGGGAGAGGGAGAGAGAGAGGACATGGTGTGTGGGAGAGGGAGAGGACATGGTGTGTGGGAGAGGGAGAGAGAGAGGACATGGTGTGTGGGAGAGAGAGAGAGGACATGGTGTGTGGGAGAGGGAGAGAGAGAGGACATGGTGTGTGGGAGAGAGAGAGGACATGGTGTGTGGGAGAGGGAGAGAGAGAGAGGACATGGTGTGTGGGAGAGGGAGAGAGAGGACATGGTGTGTGGGAGAAGGAGAGAGAGGACATGGTGTGTGGGAGAGAGAGAGGACATGGTGTGTGGGAGAGGGAGAGAGAGGACATG